AAGAGTATTATCAGTTGGCAGAAGAAAATAACGTTAACGAACTTCAGGAGGAATATGTATGGCAAAGCGATAACGAACAACAAGAATACATAGATATGTCAGAACTTTATTTTTTAGAATAAGCCGTTCCTCACTACCTTACTTTAAAGTAACCACGGGGAACGGAAAAATTCTAAAATTCTTAATTGACACGGGCTCTAATCAAAATTATATTCAAAATCAATTAGTACCAAATCCAAAGCCAAATGAGAACACTTTTTCAGTTAGTTCAGTCGGTGGTAACAATAAAATAACACAACACGCAATACTTAAGCTCGCTAATATTTCGGATACACCCATGAAATTCTTTTTACTAGACACCCTAAAAACTTTTCATGGTATCTTGGGCAATGACACAATGAAAAGACTAGGAGCAATAATAGATGTAAAAAATGATATATTAATTCTCGGAAATAAACGCAAAATTAAAATTCATCAACTAGCGATACAAGCAGTAAATACAATTGGACCGCAAGTCAGCCTTATGACCGAGTCACAAAAATCAATAATAAAACTCCTCGTACAAAGCCACAAAATCCTCTTCGCAGATCCCGATTCAAAGTTAGCATACACAACTAAAGTAGTAGGTGAGATCAGAACTTCATCAGATTCTCCAGTTTACGGAAAACATTACCCATACCCAATATCACCCAAACAGGAGGTAGAAAAACAAATAACTGAGATGCTAAGAGATGGTATTATAAGACCTTCAAGATCACCATATAATGCACCAGTCTGGGTAGTTCCGAAAAAGTCCGGCCAGTCCGAAGAAAAAAGGTACAGATTAGTAATTGATTATAGGAAACTTAATGAAGTTACTATCTCAGATCGGTATCCCATACCCGAAATTGGAGAAATTATTGCGCAGCTCGGGGACAACAAATATTTTTCGGTATTAGATCTTAAGAGCGGTTTTCATCAAATACCACTGAAAGATACAGACATAGAAAAAACAGCATTCGCGGTAAATGGCGGAAAATATGAATTTACGAGACTCCCATTCGGTTTGAAAAATTCCCCTTCCATTTTTCAAAGAGCGTTAGACGACATATTGAGAGAATACATAGGGAAAATTTGCTATGTATACGTTGATGATATTATAGTCTTTAGCAAAAACGAAGTGGAGCACGGCAAAAACTTGGAAAGAGTATTTTCAACACTACAAAACGCAAATATGAGGGTTCAAATAGAGAAATGCCATTTTTTTAAAAACGAAGTAGACTTCTTGGGGTACACAATATCAGAAAATGGAGTAAAAACCAACATAGATAAAATAAAAGCGATTACAAAATTTCCAGTCCCAAAAACATTAAAAGATCTCCGTTCCTTTTTGGGCATGACAGGTTATTATAGGCGGTTCATAAAAGAGTACGCCAAAATAGCAAAACCCCTAACCATTCTTCTAAGAGGCGAAGAAGGCCGGATATCTAAGACCAAGTCAAGCAGAACTGCTATCAACTTGAGCAAAGATGCGATTACAGCATTCGAGAAACTTTAAAATACTCTCGTCTCCAGGGAGGTTACCCTTGCCTATCCAGATTTCGGAAAAGAATTTCAATTGACTACTGACGCTTCAAGTTACGCAATAGGCGCAGTATTGGAACAAAATCATAGGCCAATAACGTTCATTTCACGTACTCTGTCAAAGACTGAAGAGAACTACGCAACTAACGAAAGAGAGATGCTCGCGATCGTTTGGGCGCTCCAAAGTTTAAGACATTATCTTTACGGGTATTCAAAAGTGGTAATATACACGGATCACCAACCCTTGAGTTTTTCGAATAGCGTAAATAACCATAACGCTAAGCTTAAACGCTGGAGAGACCTCATTGGCGAGTATAACCACGAGATCAGGTACAAGCCCGGAGTAGCTAATGTGGTAGCGGACGCGTTGCCCCGGGCCCCCGCAGAAATTAATTCAATCAGCTCCTCAGCATCAGCCAATAGCGACGGAAGCTCGTCACACAACCTCATATTTTCAGTAGAAGCTCCAATTAACGTATTTAAAAACCAATTATTATTACTGACTGCCGATACAGATTCTTATAGCTTCGAAATGCCATTCCCAACATACCACAGACACATAATTAAACAAAAATCTTACACGGAAGAAAAACTTATTGCAATTTTAACTAGTAAACTTGATCCTAAGCTTATAAACGGAATCATTACATCCGAAGAGGTAATGGGAAAAATTCAAAACATTTACCCTACCTATTTTAAATCGTACAAGGTAAGGTTTACTCAAAACGAAATAGACGACGTAACTTCGGAGTCCCAACAAAACGAAATAATTACCCTCGAACATAAACGAGCCCATAGAGATGCAAAAGAGAACAAATTACAAATTTTGAAGAATTATTTCTTTCCACAACTTACCAAGAAAATCCAAGCAATAGTTCAAGCCTGTCAAACTTGAAAAGAATTAAAATACGATAGACACCCCCCAAAAGGAGAAATCCAACCGACCCCTATTCCTAATTACCCAGGAGAAATAGTTCACATAGATATTTATATTACCAAAAAACATAGAGTCTTAACGGGAATTGACAAGTTTTCAAAATATGTTCAAGTAAAAATTTTAGAGTCAAGAGCATCTGAAGATATTAAAAATCCGTTGAGGGAAATGTTAATTGCTTTCGGTATGCCGAAATGGATAATAATGGACAACGAACGATCATTTGGCTCAGCAGCAATAAAGTTTATGTTAGAAGATGAACTCAAAATATCATTACACACCACCGCACCGTACGCATCGACAAGTAACGGACAAATAGAAAGGTTTCATTCAACCCTATCTGAAATCATGCGGTGTCTCAAAAAAGACAACGGGAGCATATCATTTGAAGATTTAATCTTTAAAGCAGTTCAAGAAAATAATAAATCGATACATTCTGTAACAAAAGAAAGACCCATAGACATATTTTTCAGAAGCACAATCTCTAGTTCAACAGAAGACAAAAAAGGGCAATAGAAGCAATAGGTACTGCATGGAAATGGCTGGCGTGATCGCCAGATCACCACGACTATCAGATCTTAAAAGACAAGATAAATGAGCAGCTAGAAAACAACAATAGACAAGTAGTAATTAACAGATTAATTAATCAAAAAATAAACCAACTTACTAACGCTACTAATGCAATGTTGAAAATTACCCAGAGCTCGGAAGAAATCATAAATCAGAAAGCAAATATTTTAAAGTATAAAATTCAATTAATAAAAGAAGAAATAATTAACATAATATACGCAATTACATTGGCCAAATCTAACACAATAAATTCATTTGTACTTACAAACACAGAAACCAAAATAGTGGAAGAAATTTTTAAAAATGAAAATAACTTATTTTTTAACATAGAAAAATTATTGGAATTTGCTTGAATCAAGTTAGCCACAAATGGCAACGACCTTATTTACATTATTAGCCTACCAACCATTGAATCAGATAATCGTAGAACTTTAAAAATTAAAGCAATAAAAAAAGCCCAAATAATCAATGATATAAAATATGAAAATTTTTTAGAATGTAAGAGACAATTATTGGCAATAATTAAACCTTGTGAATCCTATAATGATAAGACAATTTGTAATTCAGAAAATTTGTTAGATTTAAGTAATGATACTTGCGTAAACGCTCTATTAAACCTTCGAGAACCAGAATGTAAGATGATCAACAATCAACATATACCGGATTTCGAAGAATTACTACCAGGCACCATCCTGCTAAACAACTTCAATGGACCAGTCTCACTAGATGAAAAACTTCTACAACTGCAAGGCTCTTTCATAATACAATATCGTTATTCGACGGTAACAATTGGTGAAACCATCCTCAAGTCAAAGGAAATCAACGTAGTCGAACCAGAACCTCCGTTATTCCAACTATTGGGCGAAAAGACTAAGTTAGAGGAAGTTCTCTCACTACAAATGGTCAAGGAACTCAACATTAACAACACAAAAGCGCTGGAAAAATTAAGAAGCAAGGCAACCATAGAATCTTCCGTTAGCTACGGATCCGCCATCATCCTACTACTACTTATAATAGGATCAATCACGGAACCCCTACGAAGACGTAGGTCAACGGAAAGTGCACCAGTTTCCGTGCCAGAAACGCAAGAAAAGCCCACGCATTCCGGACCTGTACTCTACTACGTTGCGACCGAGGACAGTCGCGTTTAAGGAGGGAAGAGTTAACACCCAAAATAATACAATTTCTCAGACAGAGGAAATGAGTAAGCATTGATTGCACAACAAACAGCAAAGCAATGCCCTCAATAATAGAATTTCCCAAACCGAAGAAGAAAGCATTAATTGCACAACTAACAGCAAAGCAATGCTCTCAATAAAGTTCTAACGAACTTAGCTTGCACCTTTTGGTCAGCGATCGTGGGAATGCAGAACAGCCAATTTCCAAAGTTGATCGAACTCAACTTAGTGCATACAACAAAAACTATAATTAAAATGCACTGGCCAATTACAATTAAGTTTGGCCAACGGCGACGGCGACCAAGAGCAGCAACCAATAATATGAAAAAACGTCAGCAGAAACATCAACAGCGGCAGAGACGGCGGCAGCGATGGAGCGACGCGTAGCTATAAAAACAATTGTTTAACCTAAGTAAGTTAGTTCTTAATCCAACTCAATAAAGAAAGGTTTGATTTTTTTATATAAAAATTATAATCAATCTTTTAACTAATAAAATTTGCATGAAAACAGGTGTAAAACACTTTACTGATCTCAGGAGGTTTCATTAATTTAAATTTGAACATCGTGTTATGAGACCAGAAATATTGCTACGACTTTGCGTATCAGGACGGTATTATCGTTATCGGGCGAAAACTAGTAGAGCACATGCGAAACATCAAGGAATTATTTTGAATACTGCGAGCGTCGAACCTAAAAGCAAACGCTGATAAGTGTAAATTCTTCAGTAAGACTCTTCAATTTAAACGCATTACAGACCAGGGCATAGAGACGGATCCGGAGAAGATATCGGCGATAGCGTTTCTAAACCCACCGGCAGCTGCCAAGGAGCTGCGGCTGTATTTGAGTGTGGCGTCGTGGAAGGTAGAAAAGCACATGCGATACATCAAGGAAGTACTTAGAAGACTGCCACTAAAACAAACGCTGATAAGTGTAAATTCTTCAGGGCGGAACTTCAATACTTAAGGCATTGAGACGGATTCGGAGAAGGTATCGGCGATAGCGTTGCCAAAACCACCGGCACTGTCAAGGAGCTGCGACAGTATTAAAACGCCCTTCTCCGAAAGAGTTTCAAATGGGAATGGACCGAAGACCACCAGCAGGTCTTTGAATCAATCAAGACAAAATTGGGCGCCGACCCAATTTTGGCATGCCCGGATTCCACAAAGCCGTTTGTGCTGCTGGTCGATGCCAATGAATATGGGCTTGATGCCATTCTCATAAAAAATTCCGACCTATTCCAGCCGGACTTTAAATGGGTCGGAGAAGAATTTTACCAAGGAGGAATATCCGAGCAGGTGTTCTGGTAGATAGTCTTGGTAGTGGTGGATCCGTAAGAGTGCGATTTTAAGTCGGATCTGCGACCTGGTGACCGACGGTGTGGTTTACGAATACGCATCTAGCTCGGTCGTGATCATTGAGCCAGGCCGGTTTACGAATTCAGGCCCATCTCAGTGAGTTTTTCTCAGAAGTCACGTTTCCGGCTCCCGATGCCCTACAAACTCTACTTGGTTCTTCTCAACGACACAAAACCCTACTTACCCGAAATGCTCGAACGACGAGACCAACATGACGGAGCAAGCCGTGTGCAATCGGCAATCCTACGAGCTACGAACGAATCAACCGAAAACCACTAGCGAAAAACCAAAAATGCCTGCAAGTACCGAACACAACTGATATGTACGAGGAAAAACCAATACCAAAACCTCGATCACGCAGCGGGAGCCATGGTTACACTACTCAGAGGCTGTGCCTTAGACTGGTGGCACACCCCAATGTCATCATGGAGTTCATTCTGAAAACAAATATTGGAGTAATACTAATCATAAACGAACTAAATTGTCTTTAAATTTAATGTTAAACTTTATTTTTTCTTTGACGCTGGCGTGTTCTTCTTCCTTCCGCTTGATTCGAACTGAACAAAAATAACATAAAACACCCGTTATAACAGAGTGGCAACGCTTATAAAGAAGTATACATTAAACACCCGTTATAAAATCAAATTGTGCAGCTCTTCCTAAACCTACCGCCCGGCCCTGAAAATCTGTATTAGAATCAGGTAGTGAAACGGTTCTGGGGATCTCCGGATTTTTTCTCCTGATGATGCTTTTAATTTAAGTAAACTTATGTCTCCGCATTCCAAATTAGGACATCTGGTGTTCCATTTTGGGTGCTGCTGGAAGGTGGTCAAATACTCCTGATGCCAACGCTTCCAGAAACCTTAAAGAAAAGATTTTGAGTGCTGCCAGTAATCCAATCGATTAGTTGAGACTATTCCAAGGTGTACGGCCGACCAAAAAAACAGGTGTGCGGGAAATAGATACAAAACATTTGTGTACATTTTCCGCGCCGTGAGATAAAACGGCGTAGGGCTGCCAAAAAGGTATCTGAACTCAAATGGAGTGCTGCAGTTTCCATACAAATGAACAGACAAATGTAGCATTTCTCCTTGCATGGGTTGCGTCCCTTGAGAACTGTAAGGATCATAGGACCTGCATAGTCACATCCCGTGTTCTGAAATGGGTAAGCTTGACGAACTCTGGCTGCCGGTATATCAGCCATAAATTGAGTAGCAGAATGCTTACGCTGCTTAAAGCACTTCAAACACTTATCGAATGAGATTTCGTGCACCTCGGATCCAAAAATTTTGTCGAATAATGGCAAAGAGTGCTGATACACCAGGGTGCATGTGTTAACAATGCTAATTTTCTATAATGAGATATGTGATACAATGAGTTGTGGGCTTAAACGTCCGTCCACTCGTTGAATTTCATCGTTGTCCATAATTGGGGAAAGAGCGCGAGTTACCGCTGATGTCTTCCCGATGACATCACCTCCACCCAAACCCCCTCGGGCATAGTCCCACTAACGGCGATGCCGTTCAACCCGGACATAGGATCGCCAACGCAGCGGTTTCTGGATGCCGGATCGTGTAAACAACTGGGTCTCGGGCATCCGGCCGAAACCGCTGACCTAGGAGATTTCGCAAACTCAACATATGTACCCCACCCGCAAACGAAGCTCACATTGTACTTGAAACCAAAATAAAAATCAGTCTTAGAGCGACACTTGGAAGTATAAGTCTTTCATTCCCGAAACCTCCTAACTCGACAGCCTACACCAGCCAGATCCGACCTGTAATTACACCAGCCAGATCCGACCTCTAATCTACACCAGCCAGATCCGGCCTTCGACTATAATTGGCGCAGCCGGTTTTTTTAAAAGAACCAAGGATGAAATTCAGCGAGATCGGCTAAGCCAATGGGCAAAGTAAAATAAAATAAACCAGTGGAAATGAAAGTGCAAACATTTTTGTGTGCCCACAAAGTAATGTGTTAATAAAAAAATTATATATATTTGAACAAAATTTTTTCTCAACGATCTGAGTCAACAAGTTAGTGACGGTTAACAAAAAATTTATAACAAATACCCGTTTGGTGTTTATCAATTGTTGACACTGTACACTGTACATTAAATGTGGTTATCTCAATCTATCTAAATGTGGCCATCTAAATCAAACTATGTATCTATACGAATTGTGACCATCAATCGCTGATCGGCACAAAATGCATCGCGCATTGTTATAGATGTATAAAACGACATGTTAAAAGGAAAAAAAATATATATAAATAAAAATTTTATACACGACAAATTTTTATTATATATCTATATCAATTGTGACCATCAATCGCTGATCGGCACAAAATGCATCGCGCATTATTATAGATATATAAAACGACATGTTTAAAAGAAATGTAAATAAAAATTTTTATACACATTTTTATTATATATCTGTATCAATTGTGACCATCAATTGCTGATCGGCGCAAAATGCATCGCGCATTTCTACAGATATGTACAACCTAAAATACTCCAAATAAAACGTACACTGAAAATTTGATTTTCGCACCCACATCATCAAAAGATAATAAAAAAAATAAACAGCTACAATGCTGCAGAAAAGAATACAAACTCGTCGATGAAATCGTTGAAAGAGAAAAAAAAAGCCCTAAACTACTTACATTGTTGGCATTTCAACTATAATTTAATAGCCTGATTCCATTGCCGCATTAGTGGACTTTTTAAATGTGCCTGATTCCATTGGCGCATTAGCATTTAGTTAATGCTACTCCGACATGTGAGTGGCACAAACAGCTGATCTGGGCTTGTTTACTTTTGAATTTTGGCAAATCCAAAAGAAAATAATTAAAATTAATGAACATGAGTGAGTTTACCAAACTCTGTAACGCTCAGCAGGAAATTCATATTGCGACCGAGACATTTGCCAACTTGGACGATAAAGAAGAGAAGCTGATTGCGTTGTTATGACGGGTTTTCAACCGAGACCACCACAGTTTCTAAAAAGGGCAAGGATCCCCGTATATGTGAGAGTTATTTTAACCCAGAGATCCAGCAGTAATGCATTGTGGTACTGCGAGCAGAATTTGCAGCGTGCGCTCTAGGTTTCAGTCATTTATGTACAAAATAGATTTTATATTCAAAAGACATCAAAAATTGCGCCAACCTTGCTTATAGAAATCAGCTGTTGTAGTGGTGGCACGAACAAAATATCGTTAAACATCGGTATTTTTTCTAAAAACGTTCGGGGCGAATAGTTTTTAATCGCATTTAAAAATCGCATTTATTTTAAATGCGGCATTTAGCCTTATGCGATTCCATGTGTAAATAAATGCGCATTTGGCTAAATGCGTTTTAATGCGCCAATGGAATCAGGCTATAAGAGTAAAATCAAATAACAATTTGCAAAAGAAGTACACAGTAATCTTAGTAATCATTGCCACACCAACGGATTGAATAATTACTTTGCCCCATGGTCACCACAAAAAAAAAAGTACACACACACACACTAATTATGTCAGTTTTACAGATTCTCAGCGTAATACAACGACACAAATTTCCGTAACTATTAGCATAGACTAAGCCATACACCCGTATATATATTTACACGTAAAATTACCTATATACGAGAAAAAATATATATATTTATTTTTTAATTACACACATACATTTACACAAACGTTTTCTTATTAAGTTAGCTACACGAGAAAATATAGGTAATACGATTTTTTTTCCTTTTCCATACAATTTATAATTTTACACCTCTCCTTTTAAAGCACATAATATCTACCAAAACATATAATTCCAAAATTTACATATATTTCTCCTAAATCTTTAATTACGCAAATACGTATTTTCCCCACCTAATTTCAAGGAAAACAATAGTAGAGAAAACTATAACTAGACAAGGTCTCAGGAATAGTACTAGCCTTCCCAATATTAGGGAAGAAGAAATTATAATCATGGATTCGGGAAACGCATCGGGCTCTAGGACCACTAGCCCCACTGATAGTGCCACTAACAATATAGGAAATGCTAGTACCATTCTAAACACTTCGTCAACCACTACCCTAAATACCACTCTTAACCCAACCGATATATTAGCCTTCGTCAAACAATTGCCTACTTTCGAAAGGACCCCAGGTACCCTCCAGATATTTATTGTAAGCGTTGAGGAAATTATTATGCTAATAAGGGGAACGGACCAGACCCCGTACGGACAATTACTACTAAGAACCTTGAGAAACAAAATTATAGGAAAAGCGGACGAGACTCTGAATATCTTGGACACCAAGCTAGAATGGGACAGTATCAGGGAAAATCTGAAGCATATGTATGCCTGCAAAAAGGCAGAACCAATACTCATCGCCGAAATTCAGAACCTTCCCGCTAGTTTGTCCCTGGGTAAATTATTTTTCGAAATCACAAGACTCCGTAGCGAACTTTTGTCACTCCCCGCAGACCCAGACCACGGTGTAAGTGCAGCATCAAAAAGAGCTCTTTATGATGAAATTTGCCTTAACGCCTTCCTCGTCGGGCTACGAGACCCACTCAGAACGGTCATCCGAGCCCGGAATCCGACAACGATTGAGGCGGCTTACGAGTGGTGCCAAGCTGAGCAGAACTTCATTTATCAAAAACAAAACAAACTACAAAACAATAGATTCATCTCAGACCGCAATGACCCAGAACAACTCTGTTGGTGGAAATAACTACTCTTCCAATAATTACGGGCAAGATTATCCTGGAAATTCCTATTCCTCGGGAAACCCGTTCCGCCAAGGCCCCAACCAAAGCCAGCATCGTTTCAATAACAACAGGCAGAATAACGACAATAGAATGGGAGAAAATAATACTGATCAAAATCGTAGCAGTACCTCAGGCAGGCTTGCTCCCAATTTTAACAACATTGACGACAGCTCAAATTTTCAACAAGAAGCCTCGACCGACA